TAGAATGATTTCTGTCCCTTTCAGTATATACCCAGGATACTCTAAATTCTGTCTGCAGATCTCCATAAATATGCAAAATCTGTACCATTTGATCAAGCATGATATTAAACTGGAAACCAAGTAGTGAAAGAATTTAAAATCAAAGCATATCAATGCTTCCTGCACCTTCAGATTTAGCAACCTCTAATTAGGCCATCATAATCCCTGCTAATATATGCTCACCTAAAGCCCATAGAAAGAAGCTGGAATAGAGATCCTTATACTGTGTAGGAAATTGTAGAATCATTGCAGTAGCAAAAAAAAAAAAAAAAATTAAATAATATGAGAGTAGGAAAATGCATTCTCAAAAACTACGTGTGTAATTTTGGTCACTCCAGATGATCACTCTAAAGCACTTTGAAATAGTCATTGGTATGTGACATAAAGAAACTCTTGTAATATTTTGCAATGGAGTATGCTACATTTTTCTTTAAATGACTTGCTCCGTTACAACACATCAAGTCATATGATACTCATAGATCTCTTAAATATTTATTTTGTCTTCTGGTTAGTATTGAGAATCTATGAAGGCTGGTTATTTTATTAAAATATCATCAAAAAATGTTATTAAATGGTTATTTGGCTAGTAATAAACTAGACTCTATACAAATGGCATTATTAGATATGGTCATGGTATTTTAACATCTAAAATAGAAATGTAAAATAACATTTTTAAAAGGAGATAATATAAGTATATTATTATTGGAAGTATGACTAAGTAATAATTGTGAGATTAAATATTTACCTCTAAATAAAGGGAGCGAGGTTTACCACACATAAGGTGCAAATCTGGTTATAATGTTATATTCCAAAGACTGGCAACCTATACCCTGCAAATCAAAAATAATTTTATTTCCGACAAGGACTCTTATTAAGTAAAACATGACCCTTGTTCTCTTCTTCCTTCCTGCGAAGGGCTGCCTCCTTAACAGGTTCTGGTCCTCTGGCTCATTTGGGAAATAGCAACTTGAGGTCAACTCACAAATACCTTGACCATCCCTCCCCCATCCTACACACACAAAAAAAGTAAGGCTATTGCAGTGGCTCACATCTGTAATGCCATCACTTTGGGAGGCTGAGGCAGGAGGAATACTTGAGCCCAGGAGTTCAAGACCAGCCTGGGCAACACAGTGAGACTCTGCCTCTATAAAAAATTACCAGGCATGGTGGCACATGCCTGTAGTCCTAGCTACTTGGGAGGCAAAAGCAGGAGGATCACTTGAGCCCAGGAGTTTGAAGCTGCAGTGAGTCAAGATCACACCACAGCCCTCCAGCCTGGGTGACAGCAAGACCCTGTCTCAAAACTGAAAAAAAGAAGTGAGGCTGGAATTTGTGAGGCTAAAATTTGGCATGCTGTGTATAAAGGACTGTTTACTGACCTCAGACCCAGCCCAAAGACAAACCCCAGAAATAGAATCAGACCCTGGATAAGTGGGTGGATAGATGGATGGGGAAAGGGAAGATAAAAAACAACAAGAAAGAGAGGGATGGAGGGATAGAAAGACGAATGAAAGAGGGAGGGAAGGATTTGAAGAAATACTCAAGGCTTCCCTTTTGCTTATTTTCCCTAAAGTCGTATTTTCAATTAATCCCATTTTCCTGTGAAAGCAATGTGTCATACTCTTAGAAAAACAAGAAAATAGCCAACTCCAGAAGATGCAATAATACAAGCATATTTTAGAATGAAGCCAAACTTTTAAAAGCAACACACGTTAAGGGCAAAAACATAGTTTATATGGTGTCATGAATCTGACAGTATAATTTGCCTCAACCTGCCTCATATAAAAAGTACAATAATAATATAATATCTCAGTATTAATTAAGTGCTTATTATGAGTCAGGTGCTCTCAAGAACTTTATATGTATTAAATGTGGAATTCTCACATCAACCCTATGGGGTAATTATTGTTATTGACAGTGCTGTGGAGATAAAGTTAACTGAAGACCAGACAGATGAGGTCATTTATTATAGCCTCATCTGATTTTTATTGGAGATGTGGTCATTCTAATACTGTAACCTATTTTTAACAGCCTTTATTTTTCTTTCTTCCTCTCTTTTCCTCCTACCTTCCCACCAGATATGTATGAAAACGTTTATGATAGCAGATACTGACGTAAGACCCAGCCTAAAGACATAGCCTCTGGCATCTTGGAGGTGAGATCCGCAAAGGAGGTCCTTCCTCCCAGAGCTTTTCGGGGCTTTTTTTTCATTCTTTTTTATGAGGCGGAGTCTCACTCTGTTGCCCAGGCTGGAGTGCAGTGGCAGACTCTTGGCTCACTGTAACCCCTGCCTTCGGGTTCAAGCAATTCTCCTGTCTCAGCCTCCCGAGTAGCTGGGATTAAAGGTGCCCACCACCATGCCTGGTGAATTTTTTGTATTTTTAGTAGAGACAGAGTTTCTGCCATGTTGGCCAGGCTGGTCTCGAACTTCTGACCTCAGATAATCCACCTGTCTCGGCCTCCCAAAGTTACGGGTGTGAGCCACTGTGCCCACCCACAATGTTAATTCTTTAACCACTTATTTTTTCTTTGCTTGAAATTACCAGATTCTTTACAAAAATATTTGCTAGAAGAACTCACAACATGAAATAAGAGGAAATAGCAGGACCTACAGCCCGGTGTTCATTGCGGAGGCATTGAGCAGAGGTCCAGAGTTTAGTCTTGGAGGCCAGACTGCTTGTGTTTGAGCTCAGTTCTACCTTAACAATTCTGCAACCCTAGTTCATTTTTTAAATTTTCCTATGCCTTGATTTCCTTACCTATAAAACAGAAGTAATAGTGGCTACCTCTTGGGGTTGTTGCTTTGGTACTTACAAAGCAATACGACTATGCCTGACACGGTGTAAATGAGCTATTATATAATGAATTACTCTACATTTGATTTTCTTTCACTAATGAATTTCTGTTACATAAGGGAAATCTTTAGAATTTTGAGCCTTCCTAGATTTGGAGAAGGATCACTGAACACCAACAACAGTTCTCAAGCAAAGAGTAAACAAAAGCAATAAAAATGTAGAGGACAGGTGGAAAGAATTAGGAAGTCATGTTTCTCCACTTTATCTGGAATTCCATCAGTTCATGTAGACCACACATTGTGATAGACATCCATGTTTTCTTTTTAAAAAAATGTGAAATAAAGAAATCAGCGCTTATTAAATGAAGTTTAATAGACAAAAAAAAAAAATGTTTACAACATAGAGGCAAAGGATAAAAATAACAAAGAGATAAATTGGTCATGAAAGTATTGGAGCCGGGCCAGTGGCTCACGGCTGTAATCCCAGCACTTTGGGGGTCAAGGCAGGTGAATCACTTGAGGTCAAGCATTCAAAACAAGCCTGTCCAACATGGTGTAACCCCATCTGTACTAGAAGTACAAAATTAGCTGGGCATGGTAGCACATGCCTGTAGTCCCAGCTACTCAGGAGGCCGAGGCAGGAGAATTGCTTTAACCTGGGAGGTGGATGTTGCAGTGAGCCGAGATCGCACCACTGCACTCTTGCCTTGGCGGTGGAGTGAGACTTTGTCTGAGAGGAAAAAAAAAAGAAAGAGAAAGAAAAAAAGGAGGAGAGGGGAGGGGAAGGGAGGGGAGGGGAGGGGAGGGGGGCAGGGGAGGGAGGGGGGGAGGAAGGAAGGAAGGAAGGAAGGAAGGAAGGAAGGAAGGAAGGAAGGAAGGAAGGGAGGGAGGGATGGAGGAAGGAAAAGGAAGGAAGGAAGGAAGGAGGGAAGGAAGGAAGGGAGAGAGGGAGGGGAAGAAATTAAGGGTCACTGTTCTGAAACTTCTGTATCTCATGATTCAGAATACCAGTCATATGGTGCACTTAAGATACGTTATCTGCCGCACAAAATTGAGGAAGATCTCCAAATGCCTGAATAATCATCAATGATTACAGAATTTTAGAACAAAAGAAGACTTTAGAGATTAGTTGTATGTGGCTGGTTAGCTTTGGTTAGGATAGTTATTACTTTAGAAATTAAATTCCTCCCTTTGGCAGCCCTGAAAATGTGTATTACAGTGGAAAGTATCTCAGTAAAAATTACAGGAAATGATATTGGTCTGTGGTGTAGTGGAAAATTTTCCTCTGCTGAGATGTTTCCTTTAGATAGTGATCAAAACTATTTGAGGGTCATTTAGCATCCATGTGTTATACTTTTAAAGAGCATTTCTGTTTAAAACAGATTTTTCACAAATTATGCTTGAAGCTTACATACAGACTTCTGAAAATGCTGTGTAGCTTACCAAGAGATGTCTGGTACTCTTCAATTTAAAATTTCCTATAGAAAATGAGAGGAGCTTTCAAAATTAATCAGTTTTTCCATACGTAACTTTGTCGGTTTAATGAGAAAAATCAAACTTAAATTTAGTGTGTAGTTAATTAGAGTTTGAGGTTTCCCACAGTACTTTGAGGACAAAAACTATTTTGCATATCCAACTGGAAATTTGAAAACACAGGCCAGGCGCTGTGGCTCGTGCCTGTAATCTCGGCACTTTGGGAGGCCGAGGTGAGTGGATCACCTGAGGTCAGGAGTTCAAGACCAGCCTGACCAACATGGTGAAACCCCATCTCTACTAAAAATACAAAATTAGGTGGGTGTGGTGACTCACGCCTTTAATCCCACCTACTCAGGAGGCTGAGGCAGGAGAATCACTTGAACATGGGAGGTGGAGGATGCAGTGAGACAAGATCGTGCCATTGCACTCCAGCCTGGGCGACAAAAGCAAAACTCTGTCTCAAAAAATAAAAATAAAACACAGTGAAAAATGCATTTTTACTCATGAATCCTACAGACTTTTTATTGCCCATATGAAGAGCACCTCACCTGTAAAATTGGTGTTGTAGAAAAGTTGTACAGCAAGTGAAAACCCTGCTGTACTTTATTAAAAGCACAAATATCTCCTCAGATGAAAATGCAAACTTAAGGGTAAACTCATGAAGGTCCTGACAGCTGGGATGTTCTTTCAGCTTCTACAGATGACAGTGCAGCTGAGAAGAAAGGGGGAAGCCTCCACGCTGGCCTCATCGTTGGAATTCTCATCCTGGTCCTCATTATAGCCACAGCCATCCTTGTGACAGTCTATATGTATCACCATCCAACCTCAGCAGCCAGCATCTTTTTTATTGAGGTAAGTGTTGAGTTTAACACATGAGAACCACACCATTTGATGAACCGTATCCATTTGCTAACACCACCTGGATTTAATGTTTAGCACATGATTTCTCCATTTTTCAGTTTCGAGCTTTCTGATTTCACACACATGTATGCAGGCACCCACGCTCACATGTACATATTGATAGATTGCTTTCAGATGATGGGTCCAATTACCTTATCTCTGGAGCTTTTAAAGACATAAACTATCTTGTCTTTCTGAGATCCAAAGGAAAATGGGAACCATACTTTTGGGTCCTTTCATACCAAATATGTTAACCAGCTGTTCTCCTTGTCCTAGGAGGAAATACTATGTTTCTGGGAAGCTAAAGACTTAGGTTAAGTCAATTGCTCAATGAACACTAATTAAGTGTTGGCCGTGTGCATGATTGAATATGGTGGGCCTCTTCTCAAAATGCTCACAAACTGTTTGAAAAAAAATATGGCTTTCACTATAAAATGACAGCTATAAAAAATAAAATAATGGTATGTGCTGTTGCCATTTTAGATAACGTGTGCATATTTGTACATTTATATATGAATGCACAGACACACACATATACACACACTCAGACACACAGTGAGAGCACCATGCTGAATCAGTGTTATGTCTTCATGTACATTGGTTTAGTGCCACTGCCGAGGAGTCAACAGGTGGGAAGACAAGGGACTATGCCTAAGGAGCTATGACTAAGCCCTGGGGTCTAAAAGGCTGAAACCAGGAAGCCTGGAGACCAGTAGATACAGTCTGTGTGTCTGTGTGACCGAGTCACCTCTCTCCTCCAGAAGGTTGGGTTTCCTGGACCCCATGCATATACAGCTTTTTTTTTTTTTTTTTTTTTTTTTTTTGAGACAGAGTCTCACTCTGTCACCGAGGCTGGAGTGCAGTGGTGCGATCTCAGCTCACTGCAACCTCCGCCTTCTGGGTTCAAGTGATTTTCACGCCTCAGCCTCCTGAGCAACTCGGACTACAGGCAAGCACCGCCACACCCAGCCAATGTTTATATTTTTAGTAGAGACAGGGTTTTGCCATGTTGGCCAGGCTGACCTTGAACTCCTCATCACAAGTGATTCTCCAGCCTTGGCCTCCCAAAGTGCTGGGATTACAGGCGTGAGCCACCATGTCCGGCTGCATGTGAACCTCTGACTCTAACATCCGAATGGAACCACTCTTCCAACACCAAATAGAACTAGAAATACCAAAGCAATAAAGAAAATCTCTTGTAGAATTTCAAACACGTAATTAGAATTATTCATTGTATGACACACGGAAATTGCTTGGAATTATGTTCACTTGTTGAGTGAGAAATTATAATGCCTTTTAAACTACAGAGTTAAAATTACCTGTGCCCCTTATAATGAGGAGGGGTGAATAAATGCAAATCAAACAATTGCTTAAACATCCTAGATGGCTGGCAACTGTCTATAGAATAAAGTGCCATCCTCCTTTTCCTTCTTTGGGCGCTCAAGGCCTTGGCACTCTCAATCTTATGTATCATTTCACCTTTATTCCCTGGGCTCCCCAATCTGGAGTTGGCATTGCTGTCAAATTTCACGCTTTGTTCATCTCTGTACCTACCCCAAATTCTCCATGCCACAAAGATATTGCTCATTCTAGTTCCTCCATCAAAACTTCCTCCTGATCAGGTGTGGTGACTCACGTCTGTAATCCCAGCCCTTTGGGAGGCTGAGGCGGACAGATTGCTTGAGCCCAGAAATTCAAGACCAGCCTGGCCAACATGGTGAAACATCATTACTACAAAAAATAGAAAAAGTGAGTGGGGCATGGTGGTGCATGCCTGTAGTCCAAACTAGTTGGGAGGCTGAAATGGGAGGATTGCTTGAGCCCAGGAGGTCAAGGCGGCAGTGAACCATGACTGTGCCAGCCTGGGTGACAGAGTGAGACCCTGTCTAGAAAGAAAAAAAATCATCCCTTCCCATATTAGTCCTTGAATTCAGGAGCCAAAGACCTTTGATACCGTGTACCCCATAAACTTCTCTAGACTATCTTCCTTCCTCAGCAGCTGGGTATAATCTCTCGCTCTTCTGAAACTCTATCTGCAGGGATACACCCCTACCTTTCTCTGGCATTAATCTTTCTGTTTTGCATTAGAGTTCAATATGCACATGATTTATTCTACCCTGCAAGACTTGTAAGTACCTTGAGATTTGGATTAAATCACTTACGTTTCCTTTGGAAAACAGGAATACTGCCAATATTTCCTGGAAAAACATTCATAATAAATATTCCAGGACATTTCAGACTTCCAGTGAAATTTCATGTAAGACATATTCCAGAAATGGCATCTTCATTCGATATCAGCAGTTGAGATATTATCAGGCATTGCACTGAACTGGAAATCTGTTATTAAGTTCTGATAATGTGCTTGATTTTCTTGGAAGAAAGTAGACAACCTTCTCAGAGTTACGCATGCATTCTTCAAAGAGCTGCTGAGTGACAAGCTAGAAAGCCTCAGGGACTAGGCAGACCTCAGGCTGCTGCTCCTGCCGTAACCCCTCACATGTCTAAGCCTTTTCCAACTGTGCAGTTTATTTTCTGACATGGTGAAAAAGAAGACACTGTGAAATATCTGATGGTGATGGTATTAGTGGCAAATTGCACAGAATGGAGGACCTAGTTAAAGCTGGTTCAAGGCAATGCCCGTGTGATTGCAAAACAGTGGAATCTTGTTTTGAGTATTAGCCTCATTGTCTTATGTCTCAGAGCCTGTATGTCCAAATGCGTGGAGTGTGTTTGCATGTGTATACATACACATGTATTTATAGACTATTAGAGCTAGATGGAATCTTAAAGATAATTTAGTTCTATACTCTCCTAACACAAAGGGAGAGACTGAGTGAGGCTCAGAGGAGTGGAATGACTTATCCAAGGTCAAAGAGCCATAGTTCTAAGAATAACTCTTTCTTCTTTTCACATGTAAGTGAAGCAGATTCATTCAGCGGGTCTCCCAGCTTTTCTCCTCTTGACTTTTTTCCTTCCTGTGGAGTCAATTATCAGCATCTGCTTAAATCACTACCTCTCTGACACACTGCTGGGGTCATGCAGCTCACAGTCCTCAGTCAGCAGCTGATTTTTGGAAGGTGATAATCATAACTTTAGTATTGGTAAAGCTGACCGCTGTTTGCAAAATCCAAACAGATCCGCGATGACCATGCGGTTTGTGATCGAAAGATGTATGACTTTGAAGATTTTGAATTATTAGTTACATTAGAATCGTTGATGCATAAATGAAGGAACGGAATATAATAACATTCTTTTCACTGCCTTTTATATTTTATATTATATTCCTGTCTACTTTTTAAATGAAATTGATGTGCTTTCTTCTTTTATGAAAATGATACCATTCTTTATAGAAAATTTAAACAATGCAAAAATGTGAAAGGAAGGGGAAAAAGTCATTTATAGTTCCAGCATGCAGAAATGATGACTATTAATAGTTTATTTTTTTCTGGAATTTTTATATACATAATTTGATGTTTGCCCATTTAATACAGTGGTGATTATACTGTAATGCAAATTGTTTTTTGAAATAACATTTTTCTGTTTTATTATGATGGCTTTGTAAACATCATTTTAATGTTTGTATTCTATTGTATTCAACATTCATTCAGTAGCTTTATATTGACTGCCTCTTATGTGGTGAAGCGGTAACTCGGGATACACTGAGACTCTAACATGTGCCTAAATGTCAAAAACGACCTTGTTCCACCCAAATGAAGACTGTGTGTTAGTTTTCTACTGCTATTGTAACAAATTGCCCCAAACCTAGTTACTTAAAATAACACACACTTGCCTTACAGCTCCGGAGGTCAGAAGTGCTAAAATCAGGATATCGACAGGGCTGGTTCCTTCTGGGGGTTTCAGAGGATAATCGTTTCATTGCCATTTTCGGCTTCTGGATGCTGCAGGTGTTCCTTGGCTCGGGGTTTCTTCTCATATCCTTCTAACTTCTGTTATATCCTATATTCTTCTCATATCCTTCTAACATCTTATCTCCTACTACTAATGTTGACCCTCCAGTCTCCTTGTAAGGCACCCTTGCGACTACATTGGGCACACCTGTATAATCTAGGTGCTGTCAATATGTGGCTGCCGGCTGTGTGGACTATTGAGCTCTTAAAATGTGATTAATGTAAAACAAGGTATGTGTAAAACACACACTGGATTTTGAAGTCTGAGTACCAAAAATAATGTCACTGTCTCATCAGTAATTTTTGTATAATTACATGTTCAAATGATAGTATCTTGGATAGGCTTAGATTAAATAGGATTTATTACAATTAATTTTGTTTATGTTTACTTCTTAAATGAACACTAGTTATTTTTAAAATTATATATGTGGCTCACAGTATATTTCTATTGGATGATGCTGGTTTGTAGAGAAAACTTGGCAGAGAGAAAGAATTAGAAAGAAAAGTTGGTTCCATATTTTTTAAAAGTAGGCAGTCTACTGGTTTTTAGCAAGAGGGAAAGAAGGAGCTTATGAGGAGGCAGAAGGCTGCCAAAGCCAACTGATATGTTGACCAGTCACTCATTCACGTATTTAATTAATTTGTTGAGCTTCTATTATGCACCAAGTCCCCACAGTACACTGGTAAGCAAAATGAACAAGATCATCCTTTCCTTCAAGGAGCTTACATTCCAGTGGGTGGAGACAAATGATAAACAAGTTTTAAGTTAGTTGTGGATTTCCCTTTGAATGATTAGTTTTACAAAAGAGGCAGTCACCATAAAATATTTGATAAAATGTTACCTTTTTTGATTGCTCAAACAATGTTACCCTTTTTTGATTGCTTGAGCTCCCAAGGTGGAGGTTGCAGTGCGCTGAAATCGCACCACTGCACTCCAGCCTAGGTAACAGAGTGAGACGCCATCAAAAAAGTTACCATTTTTGAGCATTAAGGTACTACTCAAATAATCAGTGATATATTATGATATTTATGTCTGAACTTGCG